CAGGAAAGTTTTCTGTTCAAGATGATTCCGATGATTTGTGGTATTCTGCGGGTTGTGGAACGGCCGGTTCAAAATTACTTGAGAATCATATCAAAATCTTTCAGCCAGGCCAACTGTATGACTGTTCTCAGAAACCGAGATAAAAGAGCGTATGTATTATACCGATCCTAACATTACATATTTTGCTTCTTTAATTCTAGTCTAAACCTTGCCATCCAGCGGGAAAAGCTTCAAACGAACTAACGATTTTGTGAACATACTTTTAATGGTTTCATTTACAGGTTTGCTACTGGAGAACACATACATATTTATCACTCGTAGACGATAGCTCTCTGATCTGATCTGATAATCAATTATGTTCCACCGTATCAACTCGGCACATCTAACTTCACGATAGATCGCAGATAAGTTTCTCTATGGATGCCATAAAACACCCTGTTGGCAACATACAATGCCATTGGCCGGACATGAATTACGATTACGCTTGTGTGGATACTTCGGATTAATGAAACGCTGTAGACGAAGCTTCTGACTTGCACTCCGTTGCCAACAGGATATCATCTTTATAAGATGCCTTAATGCTCCCGACCTGACGGACTAAGCCGTGAGACAATCATCAGCCTCAACAACTCTCTCCCCATGACTGCCTTCATCGAAGACCAACGCAGGTGAAGTGCTCGTATTGTCTCGTGGAACCCACGTTGCCTTCACCCAACTCCATTTGTGATATTATATTACGTTGTATTCCCACTAACCTAAAATAATCCCTACACACATACATGTGTACATACTTACCTTTTCCCGCGCTCATTCGAGCCAACAAGTCTAACTCAGGTTTTTCTTTGGTTCCACATTGCCGAGACAGATTGTGCCACTAAATAAGTTCTCACTGATGTAGACGTAAGCGTTGTCCACAACAGCTTCTGCAATAGCAGCATGTTTCAAGCTTTAGAGGTAAGTAGNGTGTACATACTTACCTTTTCCCGCGCTCATTCGAGCCAACAAGTCTAACTAAGGTTTTTCTTTGGTTCCACATTGCCGAGACAGATTGTGCCACTAAATAAGTTCTCACTGATCTAGACGTAAGCGTTGTCCACAACAGCTTCTGCAATAGCAGCATGTTTCAAGCTTTAGAGGTAAGTAATCCCTTCAGTCCCCAATAGGCTGCCTTTTAAAAAATTATCCAATTGTCTTTTAGTAATTTTTGAAACTTTTCTGTAGAACTTTCGATTCGTTTTTTCATCAATCTAGCTGCATCGGTGATGGACATTGCCTGTCCGCCGGCAAAGCTCTTTTAAGCCTTCTTTCTATACGTTCCCATTGCTAATCTATATACAATTAACTTTTCGTTCAAATTTCTGACCAGGCACGACCAAAACGCATAAACGGGAGAAGCTTTCTGAAGCTTTTTATTGATTTTATATGAACACACACATTGTAAAAGCTCTCTCTGCGAGTCACTGTTTTAAGCCAGTACAACCGGTTTCGGCCCCACTGTGCCCCATACTAACAAAATGTACTTGTATTCATACGCGTATACAGCACATCCCCTTAGGAAATTTGAGCATTCCGCAGAATGAAACAAACATTCCGCTTTGCTGCACAATCGCTTTCTTTTTAATAGGCGATGTAATTGTGAGGATGTATTCCTTCTCGGTGATTGAAGCAACTCTAGGGAAATATTCCACCAACCCACACGTAAAATGAATCCGGAATCTTTCTACAAAGCTTTTTTTTTTTTTGAAATGACGTGGAAAAAATACATTAATCGTAATCATAGATGTTACCATTATGATTATAATAATTGTAATCTTAAAAGTTTAAGGACTAAGATTATTGTAATCGTAATCACAAAAAACATGATTACATGATTACCTGCATATGTATGTAGGATGCCGAATAAAACATTAGTACTTAACGGTATAAACGAAAGTGGTTATAGACTAATATCCAAATTCATAAAAAATTAAGAAGATTTTAACTGCTTTATAAATTGAAATTTTGTATGAAAATGTCACTTTATAGAGCTATTTAAAGCTATTCTATTTTGTATGAATAAGGCCATAAATGTTTAATATATGTATGTATATAAATTCAAAGTACTAAGTAGCACATAAGCTATTTATTTTAAACAGATATTTGGCAATATCGTAATTAAGTGTTACATCCGCTTACTTCTAGAAGGTAACTGTCGTTTTTTATGTCCGTTATTTCTATTTTAGAGCTGCATTTTTAAGTAAGTTGGCGTCGCTGGATTCAGGGTCGTATTAGGTTGATCCAAGTCTGCCCTACCACATGTCTATAGATTTTTATATTTTAGTTTTTCATTGCATTAAATGTTTAAGTTCTTAAAAACACAAAGAACTCATGAAATAAAAATAAGACTTCAGGGATCTTAGTTAACTTCATATTTACAATGAGTGTTCTTCACTTCAACTCCGACTCACCACTGCAATTCTACCTTTTTTTCAGTTTGAAATTTGTTCTTTCGGGGTTTCCAAATTTTTTGCGCAAAAAGGTACAATTTTAAATTTTAATTTTCATGCCTGGTACGAAAAGGTATTGTATGACGTCAGAGAATGCATGAATGCAGTCAAATCGACGAAGAGAGAGTTGGTTATTTGGCTACGCCCTAATGTACCTAAAATAGTTTGCTTGTAAATACTAGCGGAAGAGTAGGCACAATGCTATCTATGTACTTTACGCCACTATTTCGCACCATTTGTTCGCTTCTTCCTTTTCTTTTTTTTTGAAATTCTTGTTTACTATCTCATTCTCATTTTATCTGGGATGGCCTTTGCACACGTCTTCGGTTAATAGCGAGAAGGATTTTTCCATTTTGCATCCAAATTCCTAGAGGGACGATTCAGTAATAACACAAGTAAGACAACCTTCCAGCAAGATGTTGCTAGAGCTTCAGGCAACATAATAAGAAACAAAAGAGGGAATGAATTTTGATATGAGCGACATTATTCAATATAAACAATGTATGTAGCCCGCCAAATGGTGAAACAGGTGAAGTGAGTTCCTCCACCAATCATCCGAACAACAAACAACGCGACTAAAATTAGTAGCGCACACGAATTTCAGAATCAGTACGAACTGAATTATCGCGCCAGCAGGAACGAAGCGGAGCTAGTCGCAGAAACGGTTGTTTGTGCAGTGGATGAAAAGAAGTTGCAAAAAATAAAATAAATATTTGTATCTACATAGATACATAAAATAAGCAGCCGTGTAAACAAGTGCAGTTGCTTGTAAAATATATTTATATACCACAAAAAAAAAACATACAAAAAACAAAAAAAATATTTTCAGACAGCCTTTTGTGCAAATACATAATTAAACAAATAAAATGGAGTTCAACAATCGTCTGTTGCTGAAAATCATTGAGCTGGTAAATTCGAAATGCATCTGTTGTTATAATTGAAATGTATTTAGCTAAAATTTTTTATGAACACATTTTATGGATATGGAAAAATTGAATAAATTAACACTAGATTAAAAGTTGAATTTCGCGAGACATATGAAATTTAAAGAAGAAATTTGGAGCATTAGCAAATGAATAAGTGAATAAATTCATAAATTTGTATGTTAATTAAATAATTATAACTTAAGTTAATATCAAATAATTTCGCATAATTTTTATAAAGCTGTGTATAAAATTCTTTTTCTTATAAAGTAATAATTTTCTGCAATAAAAAAGTTAATAGTTTGCACTTTTACATTCACTTAAAAAAATCTATATGTGATTGTATATAAAAACTTTGAATTGTTGTTAGTGTTTTGCACAAAATTTCTATTTCTGGCACACTTTTATGGTAAAAATCGTCTACTTTGGCACATTTTCTTATATTTCTCGCACGCTCAATTTACATAGCGTAAAAATTTTGCTTGAAATTTCTAGCATAAAAAATTTTAATTTTTTGAAATAAAATACACATTCTTGTGCGCCGAAAACATGTTTTTCTGATTTTTCAACTTTTAAAGGCCTCTCTCGTTCTTCATTTAAATAAAGTTAGAAAGCCAAAGGAGGACCTTTATTTTATGCATATTTTCTATATATGTATATACATACTTATATTTTCTGTATACGTACATATCTACAATGGCGGTCAAAACTGGATGATTAGGGTTACGATTTTATTTATTTATTTATTTTATTATTTTACCAGAACCAAGGATATCAACCTTTAAAATTTTATACAGAATTAAGAAACATTCAAAAAATTTTCACAAAAATGTTGAGCTTTATAATCAAAATTTTTATAAAATTTTTGAAATAGGGCGTTTTCGAACTGGCTGCCGAGTTAGGTTTAGCAATCGATATGTAAGTGAATACTCTTTCAATTTTAATATCAACAATTTTAAATTTAGTGGTTGTCCTTTGGATTTTAATTCCTTTAATACTTTGCTTTAATACTTTTAGTCGCAATAAGCCGAATCAAATGACCCCAGTTTTTTAATTTATTAAATTGGGAATAAATTATTCGGCACTTTCCTATTCGTTTTTTTTGGAAACTCGGAAGTTTCAAATAATTTCAAAGCTTAATTCAAATGGTTATAAAACAGTCATTGAACTCATGTAAAACCCTCTTAAGCCAACTGTGCATGTAAATGCGTTTCTGGGACAAGTTTGAACACAAAGGGCGCTTACACTTTTGCCGAGCTTCTGCTCCAATTTGTGTTGCACGTCTTGCTTTTGTTACAAAGTAGGGAGGGACCTACAGTTGTACGACGTCTCCCAATGGCAAATGGATTTTACGATAAGCCTTTTCAAGGCAGAAATACTCTCGCAGGCGTAGATTATGCTTTGAGGGTTAGGAATAACCTTTATTGAATCAAAAAAGCGCCATCCTTGGCCCGCATTGTGGCCTCCAAACGACCGATGCACAGTGGTGCTCCTAATTCACAGGAGCGTTAATTTTTTACTCATTTGATTCATTTTTGTTTCAAATTAAATCTTATAAAATTTTCCAGAGACCAGTTGAGCCCGATCTTTGAATTTTCATTTCCTTGTATTAAATTTATTAGCGGAAAAAGCAGAAAAAGTAGCAATTTTGAAGAAAATCGATTAAACCAGTAAACAAATGTTACATAACAAAAATAATTGTAGGGTTCCCTCAAAACGATACAAAATCAAAAAAAAATTTGAAATGTTCTAAAAAAAATTTTCACCAAAATTAAATTTTTTTAGTTCTTAGAAAAATGTAATTTTAGTATAATAAAGTGCAAGTTTCAAGTGGCTCAGAGTTCGCGTTGATTTTTAATAACAAACAGTGAATTATGAACATTAAATTCCGGTTTTCAACCACTGTGCGATGATGCCCCGCTCCCAGAGAAGTGGTTGGAAATGCTTGACACTGGGTTATTTGTTTTTAGCTTACTTTTCTCTTCAAAATACTCCAGGGCACAAAACGAACGTTGTTTTGTGCCATTTTTGATTGACGCTTGCGCTTTGAGTGGCGGTGCTTAGGACTGTTGGAATGTCTAAGGTTTGCGACCGAAATGTTTGTCTGCTCAGAGCTTTGGAACTGCCGCTAAAATTCTTTTCCGATATATTTGTGCAACTAATTTTGCTTCATGGTCCAAAATTGCGATCAGAGCGCGTCTTCAGCCGTTATACATAGCGATCCAAACCATAACCATCGGTAGCACCTGCTTTCTGCTGGCCTTTCGCATGTTCTACATTTTGGCTAACCTCCCTGGCAAGTAAATTCGATCATTTTGTTTGTTTTTTAGATGCTGCTCAAGTACGAATGATGCACGTACCTTGTCAATTCCTCGCCACTTTGAATGGCTTAGCTGGCAGAGCATCAACAATAAAAGCTTTGTTGTTTTTCAGACGTCATATTGATATTTGTTCTTTGTCATATGTAGTCGGGTCGTGAAACATCCGTCTTCTTTGGCTAGCGTTCTGGTTCAGTTTGTGCACTGGGTTAATTGCTGTTATCATTCAGTAGTGTTCCGCTAGAATCTTCCGTTCGCTGCCTAAATTTTTGATAGAATTTCCTCAAGCTCTTCGCACTCACGTATTTCCTCCTCTCTCTTTTTTTAGTCATAATCTAGTTGCTTATAAGTTTTGCCTACTACAGATTGCTCATCAAATAACAACACGAAAAAATCACATGATTTTTTCTTCCTAAATTTCATGTGCCACTAAAATTCATCAAAGTAATTATTGTTGTTATTGTTGTTGAGACTACCGACATTAATGCTGTTTTTGTTGTAAAAGTTTTTTGTTGTTATCCTTGAAGTATACGCGTTGCAATTTATGCTCTATATATACTCACCACATCGCTTAAGTATATATAAGTATGTACATTAGGGTGGTGTAAAATGCATGTGGGGAAAAAGTAGAGTCAGAATTCTTAAAAATCAATATTTTCGATCGGAAAACTCTGTTTCTCTGCAGGAGGTGCCCAATAATAACACTCAATTTATTTAACCATTTTTTCATAGCAACTATAATTTATAGGTCCACCAAAAACACCGAAAATGCAATGGGCGGACCAATAAAAAATCGTTAGTATTAAAAAATTGTTAAATAAACAACTAGGTATTACTATTGAAAGTCTTCTGAAGGGAATCTGAGTTTTCCGATCGAAAAATATTGATCTTCAAGCATTCTATACCATTTCTACGAAAAGTGGTTTTTTCCCATATAAAATACAGAGAAAACTTTGAGCGCTTATTTTTTGATTTCAAAATAAAAAATAGGGGTATACTTTTTTTCGATATAGAACAATCCTAGGGGCTGAGAGCATTAAAATTCCGACTTTACTCTTCTTGGACCGCCGTAATGTATGTGCACATTGATCCTTTTAAGTGCGTAAATGTAAATAAGGCATGTTAGGCACGTAATTGAATCTGCACATATTTGTGTTGCCCAACATGTTTAGATACATTTGGGTATCTAAGCAAAGCTGTTGGGCTTGCGTGTGCCTTGGTTTATGTATGTTGGACAGGGCAAATAAGAAAAAAATACACCATTAAATTTAAGCAATAAAGGCGTAAAAAGAAGTGTAGTATGTCATAAAATGTGTAGTAATGAAATTAAAAGTTAAATTATACTGAGGTCAGCGGTAACAATTGTCTCACGCCTTCTTACTCACGCAGCTATTTATAGGCTATGCGTTAAACTGAGCTTAAATTCGTGTGATATGTAGCTACATATGTCTGTATGTAAATATGTATAGGTTTTGTTTTTGTTAACATTTTTATTCTATTTCATCGCTGTTATTTTCATTACTTCCTTCATTAGCTTCATTGGATTTCAATTCTCGTTTGCATACTCTGTATGCGTAATCCATTAACTTTGTTTTTGGAAAGCAGTGTGTGAACAAATATAAATACATATGTACATATGTATGTTTGTACATATTCAGTATGGTAGATAAATATCTACATAGAAATATATGTACATTCTTTCTTCAATTTATGGACCCATACAAATTCAATTGTTTCGAATAGCTACCTACATATGATTATCTTACCTTTGTGGTATCATTGTTAGGCAAAGTAAATTCGTACGGCATTACAAAGTAAAATAACCATTCTTGTCTCAGTTACTTTTGAATTTCGGGGATGTATTTTTACTACCTGTGTACCTGGGTTTTTATGTTTAGCCAGCATAAAATACAGTAGTGCTTCTCATTTTTGGGCTACGCTTCATTTTTGAAATGATGTCATTTCTATTCCATTGTTTGCTCTTTCTAACCGGTCTGATTTTGAAAGGAAGCAGACGGAATATGTTGAGAAGAGCAAATGGTGTTTTTTGTCTGTATTTATGTATAAGTAAGTATGTACATACCCTGCAGCAAAATCCAGCCATAAACCAAGAATAATAATATACAAGCTGCGCTGGATGAGCAAAGAAATGCTACGCCACAAACTTTATTCGAGTTTCTCAATAAGCTGAGCAGCTGCAGAGGTGATGCTCTACTATTTTTTTTTTCTACTGCCGATGATATACAGCTACAATAAGAATTGTTGTGGTCTAGCCGCATTGGCATCCAAGGCACATTTTGTCAACAAAAAAACATTTGTTTAAAAGGCAGATATGTAAATTTTAAAATCTACTTGAGAAAAAGGCTTTTAGATTGACAGATATTAATATCAGGTAAACACCGAGACTTAGAGATCTACTGTACCCTCTACTCTCCACAATACATCAGAAAGTTAAGACGAACTTTCGGGGATAGGAAGTCGCCACTTATGGCTTGACACCTCTCACATCTTCTGTAGACGATGTCACACTCGACACGAGTATGAAATCCTACCACCATATTCCCAGCTTATACAGATTATCTCATGGTCTACACGGTAGACTCTACAGCAATAGTGCGCACCCAGTAGCTCAGTTGGCTCACAACAACATCAGTGTGGCTCGCTATA